CTGATTAGGGGCTCTCGCGGGTCGAGCTCGAGCGCGTCGCTGCGGCCGCCTTCAACCCCGACAGGTCGAAAAGGAGCGGGTGACGCGTTCATTCTAGGTGAGCCGACGACCTTCAGCAGCTGGAATTGTCGCGCCCTTCTCCACTTCAACTCCCGCGCTCTCGCGCGCATGGCTGAAATTGTCGAGTCCCTCCTCGTCCCGACCTCTATCGAGGCTCTGCAGGAAGTACATGGTCCTGGTGACGCGGTGGCTGAGTTCCTTGCGCGCGTTCGCGGGGGAGCTCAGGTCTTCTCGTCGCCTGGCGAGCGTGGAGCACGGAGGTGTCTGCGCCATTGTTTTTGGGCAGGTTTTGGAATGCGTCCACATTCTGCCGCTGAAGATAGTCGCGGGCAGGGTTCTCCGCCTTCAGCTCCAGCACCGTGAGGCGGCGTTCTGTTGGTTCCATTAGAATGTCTACCGTCGCGATTTCTCGCTTTCTCAATTCGCGCGCATTCAGCGCTGTTTCACAGGCCGAGCAGCTCTGGCCAGGAGGGGCCCCGTGAAGTTCGGCCTCATCACGATCGTGGACTTCGTCATCGCTGATGAGGGAATCGACTGTTCTACGTTCGTGGTCGACGGGTTCGGGATCGCGCTGGTCGGCCCGGTGGCGCCGCTGATCGATCGTCGGCAGGGCGGCAAACTCGCGCTGGCCAATCGGGGTGGCGGCAGCTCTTCCGCTGGATGACGGAGCTGGTCGCGCTTGGCACCAGCCACTTCCACAGCTCATCTAGGACGGGATCCAGGATCGGCAGATGCATCGCGGCGTCTCCGCCCTGGCGGCTGCGCCAGCGCCGGCAGCGCGGTCGACATCATGGAGAACCAGCAGAATATCATGATGCCCAACTCTCGGGCCATGTGCCGCCGCCGGTCTCGCGGCAGACTCGGCGCTGGCAAGGTGCGGCGGCTGCTCGACAGGCCAAGATCCCTCGGTGCATCCATCGGGCCCCGCTGTTCGCCTTCACCCTGGCCGAGTGCGAGGCAATGGCGGGCGTCGGCGAGTTCGGCAGCGGGGCTTGAGATGGCGACGCGCTGCCGACAGGCCGCGGCCCGCGCCGCCCGTGACCTCCAGCTTCGGCGTCGTTCGCGGCCGCGTGGAAGCCGCCCGCCATTCCTCCGCCTACTCGTTCGGGCTGCCCGGCGTCGAGATTTTCGCGCGGGTAACATTATGTGGCAAAAGGCATTCCCGGCTTCGTTCGTTCCTGGCGATTCATGCGTCGTCGCCCCCCCTCCGCTTCACCTCGCCCGAGCGAAGCCTTTGCCCGCGCCCGTTCGGATCTCCAGTAGCATGAATTGTAGGCGGTGTGCAGGAGGCGCCAGGGGTCCGAGAATGCGAGGCAGGCCCCGGGGGGGCGCTCTAGATGCAGGGCCCATCGGCGGGCTCTCCACAGGTGGGCCTATCTTCGGTCGCTCTTTTAATCTGAGCGGGTGAGGTCCCTCAGGCGTGGCCCCCGCTTTGGGCCAGGCCCTGACGGGCTCGCCCATGCCTCTTGGCGCTTTGGTCGCGGCCTCGCGCGCTGTTAAAAGTCTTCCACTGGCTTGCCCGAGGCTCGTTCATGCCCCCGTCGTTCGATTCGCGCGCCCAGGTCTTCATTCCCGCAGGGGTTCTCAGTGTGGGCGATGTGCGCGCGGGTGGCGCGGTCTGGCGCGGTCGCGACGCTCGCCCCGCAGGCCTCAGTCAAAACCACTTCCAATAAAGTGGTTGCTGGGCTTGCCAATCTTGGTTTGTCCAGGGTCGTCGAAGGCATTGGCTCCCCCATCCAACGCGCGGCCCTCCTGTGAGTTTGATGGGCGCGCTCGTCTCGCCAGTTCCCAGGCCATTCGGAAATGCGTCGCTTCTTGCCTCCGGCTTCTCGCAAGCTTTCCCGTCGGTCAACCGGCAGTGGTTGGCGGTGGCTCTTGGTGAGCTTCAGCTCCCGCGCGGCTGCAAGCTCGTCGTCCGAGGCCTTTGCCATCTGAATCCTTGTGTCCGCTCTGCTCGTGGCCTCTTCCTCGGCCTCTTCTTCGCGCCCTCTGGCGCCCTCCGAGGAGGCCCGCTGAACGGCGGCCTGTTCGCCATTGCTGCAGCCAGCTTTCTTTGGGGCATGTCTTGGGGCGCCCGGGCCCCGGGGCGCGGTCGGGCTCAGGCGCGCGCCGACGACGTCGGCGCCTTCCCGAGGGCTCGCAGAGGATAGCGTGCTGACTGTCTTGCTGGACTTATCTTAAGGGCTCCTAAGTGCTGCGTCGTGCCTGCGGTCTCAGTCGTAGGCGAGGGGCTCAAGGCGCATCTTCGGAGCACGTTGGCCCGCGCCAACATTCCTGGGGTGGGGGGCACAGTGCCGCGAAGCACCGCTCGCTGGGAGGAGTTCGAAGTTGCTTCCGAGGTGTTGTACTTCGGGTTATGGCTGGGTCCCCGGGTCGAACCTGCGCGAAACCTGTGACCTCCACTTACTGAGCTGGCGGCGAGAACACGGGCCATCGCCGATGTTCGCCAGGATCTTGGGGCGGGCCCCCAGCTGCATCAGCAGCGGGCGTTCCGCGTGCTTTTCCACGTTTCCCAGCCCGTTCCTGCCCTTGGTCCGTGGCAAAATTTGAGCGGCAAGTTCCGGCCCAGATCTTTAAGTGGCCCATGTCAGATCTTCGGTATTCGGAGTAGTTTAATCCTGAGCAGTTCCACGGTCCTCGCGTCCGCCCCCTGTTCGTCGCCGCCGCTGCTGCCATCGCGCGCGCCGCTCTCATCGCTATCCCGCAGCGGCGGCCCGCCCTTCGCATGCTCCGCAAGAGCCTTGTCGAGCATTGCCTTGTGGCTCTCTGGCGCTCTCTTATCATTGCCCCCTTTTCGGTAGCCCCCGCTTGCGCTGCATCTGGAGGCGGCTGTCAACGGGTTCCCCGAGGATCGGCGGCTCCGTGTTGAGGGTGCCAAAGCGCTGTTGCGCTTCCGCGAGGGATCTTCGGTCCCGAGGCCCAGATGGGAAGGGGGCGCATTTACGCGCGAGAAATTCAAGCAGCCGCCCTCCTTCTCCAGAGCCTGCTCGAACAGCACATCCAGAAATGGTTCTGGCCTTTCCTTGGGGCGGGGGAGGTGGACTGGGACCCTCAAGGATGCGATGGTCTCTCTCCTTCCGTCGTGGCCGCGCATCCTCATCCGCGCGTGGCCCAGAGCGTGGGTCACGGGGTGTAGGTTGCAGAGAGCGCGGCAGTGTCTCTCCGCGTGTTGTGCGATCGGCAAAATTTCGCACTATGTATGTGACAGCCGTCGCCTCCACCATGCGGCTGCCGCCATGCGCTCCGACCTGCCAGCGCCCGTCCTGGCCAGGCTTGGGGTGCAAGCCGGTTTCGTTTTTGCTTTTGGTCTTTATCACAACTGTCGTCTCGTTACCATCAAGAGCGATCGTCTCGGCCGTCCTCTGGTTTTCGAGGAAGCCAATCGTCTCCGGGCCTCAGCCCGCCTGTACATCAGGCTCCCTCTGCGCGACCGCCAGACAGCATCGCTACACGCGGGAATTCTGCGGCGGCGAGTGGTCGCTCTTCGAGGCTCGCCATGAGGAGGGTGCACTTCGGGGGGAACGCTGTGCCTCCGCCTCCTCCTCCTCCTCCTCCTCTTCCTCCTCCTCCTCCTCTTCCTCCTGCCCCCCCTTCCGTTTCCCTCTTCCCCCTTTTCTTCTTCCTCCTCCTCCTCCTCCTCCTCCTCCTCCTCCTCCTCCTCTTCCCCTCTTCCTCCTTCCTCCTCCCCCTTCTCCTTCGTCCCTCCTCCTCCCTCCCCTTGCCGCCGCTGCCGCTACTGCCCCTGCCGCTGACGTTCCCGCCGCCGCGCTCGCGTGGTTCCGGGCCGCCCACGTCGGGCAGTGCGCGCTAGGGGGGCACCACTAGGTGGGCCACCAGCTCCTCCTGAGTATCGAGGTCCAGGACCGAAACGCGATGAGGTTTTTGGGCGCTGGGGGTTATTTCGGAGAGCTCTGCGTTGTTCTGGCGGCCCCACCCCCTCGACAAAATTGCGCTTCTTCGAAGAAGTGGCGACCATCAAGTGGCGAGCCCCCTTCAGCATTGCATGGGGTCGGCGCGGCGCCCCGCGTTAGTCGGAGGTCGACAGAAACCCCACCCTGCCAAATCGATTAGCGAATCGCCCCTTTTCGGTTCTCGAAAGGAAGTCGCGGCCGCAACGTTTGAGGCCCACCGCCCGCCGATTATGATCCTTGCTTGCTTTCGCCAAGAAGTGTTTTGCCAACGTGGGTTTTTTGTGCACCCCCGAGTTGAGGGGAGAGAAAGCGGCCTTCTGAGGAGGCGAAGGACTTCTGAGGGTCTCCGTAGACGGGCCAGGTGATTTCTAAGAAGGCTTGTTGGTCTCTGGGAGGGTTTCTGGGAAGCCCCGTGCCTTCGCAGAAAATCCCCGTCATGTCACAATGCCGACCCCCTCGCGCTACCCCCTTGCGCGCGCTGCCAAAGGGTGTCCGCGGTTCGGTCGGTTCGGCTATGTCTCAGTCGGTTGCATTCGGTCGGTTGGGTTCGCTTTGGGTATGGCGTCGTTGCATTATCGTTTTATCTTTTTCGGCTGCTTCTGTAGCTCTGCCCTCCGTCTGGGCGGTCTCCGCCAGCGCCTTCGCTGGTGCAGTGGAGCGTGCGGTTCCTGCTGCCGCTGATGCTCCTGCTGCTATTATTCCTCCTGCTGCTGCCGTTCCTGGTCCTGCTCGTCCTACCGCTACTGTTGCTACTGCTCCCTCTTGCAACTGCTGATCCTCCTTTTCCTCCTGCTCATAATCCTGCTCTTCTTGCCGTTCCTCCTCCTCCTCCTCCTCCTCCTCCTCCTCCTCCTCCTCCTCGTCCTCCTCATTGTCCTCCTCCTCCTCCTCCACATGCCTCCTCCTCCTCCTCCTCCCCCTCCCCCTGCCCTCCTCCTCCTCCTCCTCCTCTCCTCCTCCTCCTCCTCCTCCTCCTCCTCCTCCTCCTCCTCCTCCTCCTCTCCTCATTGCGCAATGCGCGCGCGCCTGATGTATGGCGCCCCCCCGGAGTGGCCGCGCCGCCTCGCCTCCCGCTTCGTGCCGCTGGGCCCAGATCCGGCAGCGGAGGCCCTCCTGCGGAGTTCCTCCCCGTAGCGACGGGTCGGCGTTCCGCCGTTTTCCGCGTCCAGGGACCGTTTCCAGGCTCTGGGGCAATCGACCAACGATTCGTGGAAAGCAGGTCTCGGGAATGGGGTTGAGATCTCCATGGGTAATCGACGCGAAAAAACCGTGTTGTCGGAGGTCCAGGCCTCGCCCTGCTCGACGTCCTCCAATTCCTCCTCGTCCTCGTCCTTGTCCGTGTCCTCGTTGTTATCCTCACCATCCTCGTTCTCGTCATCATGGCCGTTTTTGTTCCTGTTGCTCTCTCTCTCTCTCTCGCTCTCGCTCTCTCTCTTTTTATCTCTCTCTCTCTCTCTCTCTTTCTTTTTCTCTCTCTCTCTCTCTCACATTATCCCACCCAGCGGAATGCTATGTCAACAAAATTGTCCCACTTCGTCTCCTCCATGCAGCCACGTATCCGCTGCTATTAGGCCCGAGGTGCATGCTTCCCCACGGTGCGCTCGCAGGAAGCGTGCAGGCACCCAGAGCTCGGGCGGACGCGAGCAGAAACGTACCATCTCTATTCGCAGATCGCAGATCATCTCTCAGGTCTTGGTCTGATCAGGCCTGCTGTGGCAGCCACGGGAGGTCAAGGTCCGTGGCGGGTGGCAGTGTGACGCGAGACCTTCTTGGACTACTCGTCGTGGTCGTTGGTTGCATTTTCTTCCTGCTCTACACATTTCCATATTTCGACGCGTTCATGGGGGAGGCGCTGGTGGACTTCGGTGACGTCCTCGGCGCGGGCGCAGGGGTCACGGGACGTGGGCGTCTCGATGGACTGGAACGTGGGCCCCTTCGACGGAGGACGAGGCCGTGGCCGAGTGGATCCCCGCCCAGGCCTTCCAGTCCAGCCAGGCCGACGACGCCAGCGACCTCGAGGTGACGAGCCCGCCTTCAGGATGGGCCAGCCGCTGGGGCTGATGAATCTGGACCGTCATTTGGCAGGCGATCGGCTCGTTGATTCCTACAAGGCTGATATCCGCTGCCGTTGGCCCTTCCCTACTTGTGGGTCGGCGGCCGTCCAGGAAACTTTGGATGCATTTTCTGTTGCATTTCAGGGGGCAAGAGGGTGTTCCCAGCAGGAGGTGCATGACATCATGTTCAATTGGGTTGTCACTGTTCCTGGGCGTCCGGATCCGCTGGTCAAGATACCGGTTGCGCTGGCGTTCCTCACTGATTTCTTCGGGCAGACGCCAATTTGCTTCCGCCCACTTCAGGGCTACTACCTGTACCACTTGCTGACACTTCTTCTTTTACTTTCATGTGTTCTATGGTTACGACGTGTGCGTCAAGCGCGGCGGGTTCCACGATGGGCTTGTCTACCATTACAGCTACTGGCCCGAATGGCGGTCGGCGTTGCTGAATCCTGGGGCTCCCATGCTGCAGGTGGCGATGCACCTCTGCCATGGCGACCTCCCAGGCCTGGGCGCGTTCATCTAAATCATAGGTCCGGGTGCGGGGATGGGGCACCCGCGGCAGCCGGGGGCCCGGGGGCGTGCGGGGAGCATCTGGGAGCCCTCCTCCACCCCCACATTGCCCTCGGGCGGAGGCCCCCGTAGCGCCTCGTCCGTAGGTCGCTGGGCTCGTTGTTCTTCATCCCCGCCTTCCCATGCAAGTCGGAGGCGAGCGTCCTGTTCTTGGAGGCTCTGATCATTCGCAAGTATGCCCCCGCGGCCAACTCTGCGGACAAAGCCGTGGCCGCGGACATCGGGCACCGACCTTCTGCGGCAAAAGGCTTGGTGCGCCAGCGACGTCCGCGTCGGAGGCCGCCCTCGTGCAGGCGGCGGCCGCAGGCTCCGACGACGTCGATGCGCGTGGGCTGGTCGTCTGTCTTCCCATATGCTAGCATAGAGGAGATCTCGGCCAAAAACAAGGTGTTCCAGGCCTTATTCCCTGGGGTTCTCTCGGAGGTGGCGCCCTTCCACCGCCTGCGCACGTCCTAGATCCGCGAGACTTTCTACAAGTCCGGGCTGTACGGGCCCGTGAACATCTTCGTGGCATACTTTTCAACGACGTGGCGGGGCGCACCACTTCCGCGATGGCGGCGCGCTGACCTGGGCGCCATGTTTTGTGCCCGAAGTTTCAGCCCGCCTTCAGTCGGCAACGGGTCATGTGCCAGGTTGTGGACACCTGCCTCCGTCGCAAAGGTATTCCTCGGCTTCGCCCCCTGTTCTTCATCTGCCCCATTGTTTTCGGCTGCCCCGCATTCGCCTGGCGTCCAGGGTGGCCCTGTCCAGGGCGGTGAATGCGCGACGTTTCACCCGACCCGTGACCTGCACCGAGGCATCGCGCAGCTGATGTCCGAGAAGAACCCGACGCGGCAGGGCCGCATCTCGGCGCCGAAGTTCTGCAAGTCCTTCGAGGGGGCCGCGCCCGTTCAGGATGTCCGAGGACCTGGCGCGCCTCAGGATCGGCCCCCTCCAGGCCCGCAGGGTTTGCGCAGGCTGGGCGGCGCTGGGCGGCTGCCCGTCTGGCCCGGGCCCCGCCTCCTGGAGGGCCAGGCGGTCGAGGCTTGCTGCAGGTGGGCGATGGGCGCGAGGCTCCGTTCTCGTGCCCGTCGGCGCGGCGCTCAACATCTGCGCGATGTTTTTTACCGCGTTCGTCAGGAGGCGCCGCCCTGCCCGCCCGAGTGGGCGGCCCCGGAGCAGGAGCTCAAGTCTTCCTTGCAGCAGCTCGCGGAGGGCCGCGCCCCGCTGCGCGGCGAAGGCGGTCGCGCTGTCGCGCGCGCAGACCTGGCCCGCGGCATGGCAGATTGCGAGTGCGTTCGGCGGCTGGCGGAAGCCGCGGGGCGCGAAGCTCGCTGACTGACGCGTGCCGCGCCCGCCCAGCCTGGGCGGGGCCGCCGCGAGCTTCTGCGGGCGGTGGCCCACGACGCCGAGGTCTTGCGCCGCGCAGGCTTGCACGGCCGAGCGCCGCGAGCGGGCCTCGACGCGCCCGCTTCGGCCGCGAGGCGCGCGCCGGCGGACGTCGTGGCCGCGGGCCCCCGCGACAGCGCGCGGGCCGCCGGGGCCCCCGCGGCCAGCTTCTCGCGGCGGGAGCGGCGGCAGGCGCCGCTGAGTCAGGGCCCGCGCGAGGGCGCCCTCGAGGACCGCCCGGGCCGCGGCGGCCACTACTCTCGATGGCCCGGCGCGGGCGGGCGGCCCTCCGCGCGGGGCGAGCGGCCCTCGAAGCACCGGAAGGGGCGCGCGCCTGCCCCTCTTAGTGGGCGCCGCGCCCGCCGCGCGGCCAACCGATGCAAGCGCGCCGCTGCGCGCGCGGCTTGCGGGCTCTTTCCGGAGGCTGCGGAGAGCAGTGGTGGCGGCGATGGGCGCCCGGTCCCCGCGCGCCGCCTGGCCCCCCTCTGGGCTCTTCCCCGGGGCCCACGGGGGCGACCCCTGGGCCGCCACCCCCCGGGGCTCGGTGCGCTCCAGGGCTGCCCCGACGAGGGGCAGTGGACCCCGACGTGGCCCTGCGCCCGCGCGCCGCGCCTTGATCGCCTCCTCGGCCGCTGGGCCCCACCAGCGCCCTGGGGCCGGCTGGCCGAAGAGAAGCGCGCCTCGAGGCAATCTGGGGCCGGCAGACGCTGAAGCGGCGGCGCCGCCTCCGACGCCCCACGGGCGACCCGCCGCCGCCCCGGCCTCGCCAGACTGCCCGCCGCTTCCCGCGAGCGCGTCAGCAGCGGTTGGGCGCCGCCCGCTAGCGGCGCGCAGCGCGCCGCTGCCGGCAGGCGCCGCTGCTGGCGGGGGGGGCGCGCGGGCGCCAAGGGCCGCGGGTCGACCTGCGCGGGAGACGAGCGAACCTCCGATCCCAGCGCGGCTCTGGCCACGAGCGCCTGGCGCGAGCTAGGCCCTTCGCCGCCGCAGCGGGCCGCTGGGCTTCCGCGCGAGGGGTCGACGCGGGACTGGCCCCCGCCCCCTCCGGAGCGCCAGCGAGGCGCTCTTGCCCCAGGGCCCCTGTGCCCCGCGCGGGCGCCCCCGACGCGTCGCCGGTTCCCGCGTCGAGGGCCGCCCGCCCCCCGTTGGGCGCGCCCCTTTGCGGCGATGCTGTTGCGGCCCCGCAGGGGGGGGTCGCGCCGTCGGCGGGGTTGCCGGGGCGCCCTCTGGCGCGGCGCCCGAGTCTTCTGGGGCGCGCCTGGCGACGCCGCGTCGGGGCGCGGGATCGCGCCTTCAACTGCGGCCGCGTCCTTGGGCGCCGCCCCGCAGGGAGCGTTTAGGCGTCCTCGCCCCATGTCTCTCCGTCGCCGGCGGCCGCGGCTAACCCCGCTCGCGTGCCCGACGGCCCGCCCGAGACTCTCCCCGTCGAGTCGGCGCGCGGGCTTGTTGGGCTGGCGCCTAGAGGCGGCCGGCGAGCCTCTCGCGGTCGCCCGTTGGCTGCTGGGCTGGGGCGACCTGCTTCAGAGCGCTCTGTCGCGGCTCCGCTGGTTTGCGCCGGGCGCCCGACGATGCGGCGAGCTCGTCCGACCTGCTCTGCCCCCGCCGCGCCCTCCAGGGCCACCGCCGCCTGTTCCGCGCGGGCGGCGGCTCGCGCGCGCGCGCCTTGCGGGGGGGGCCCGGCGCGCCGCTCGCACTTGGCGCCGTCGTCCTCGATGGGCGGGGCCAGGTCCCCTCCGATTGGCCCGCCCTCGGGGGGCGGGGTCGCGCGGCCGTCGCGAGCGGGGGCCTCGGCGCGCCGCGTCGCCCTCGACGCGCGCGCGGCATCCGCGGCCGTGCGGGAGGGCGTCGCCGTCAACTCGGTCATCGAGTTTGGCGGGCGAGGGGGGGCGGTTGCCTTCTTTGCGCGCCCCCAGACGGGGGCGAACCATGCGAGTCGCGAGCAACCGCGCAGCGGCCGAGCATGGCGCTGGCGTCGCCAGGGGGCTGATTATGCTGTGTGTGCGTGTGTGCGTGTGTGTGTGTGTGCGTGTGTGTGTGTGTGTGTGTGTGTGTGCGCTTGCGTGTGCGTGTGTGTGTGTGTGCGTGTGCGTGTGCGTGTGCGTGTGCGTGTGCGTG